CGAGTGAGGGTGAATTGTGATATAATTATGCATATGAAATATTGTGAATATTAGGTGGAAAAAAGGCTTGAAAACAAAGGAGGTTATGTCGAAATTTTATGAAAAATTAAAAGACTTGTTAAGTGTGTAAAACACCTTTTAAATATGTGGGAAGGATGTCNGTTTAATCCATTGAATGATACTTTACATTCATGCAGATAAGGTGTTTAATGAAATATTTTATAGAATTTACATTGAGAAAAATCATGGCATCTTGGCATGCATGAATCCTTGAAACATAGTGTGAATTGAGCACTTGGTGCTATGCATTATGAGGGTATAGATCCTATGGTGAAAAATCAAAAATCTGGCCAATGACAGTACTCGCGGGCTGACGGGGGTGGACCATGAAGTGAGACATGGGTGACATAAAGTTGCATGAGTGTGTCATGCATATTGACATTGCATAGCATTGAGGGATTACGGGGTTGTAGCTTTTAAAATGTACACTTGCACATGCCACACCTTAAATTTGTTCCTAGCGTTAGCACTTTGTCATACCAGTAGTTGAGCTAACCCATTCGTGGGATATCATATTACAAATGAGATTCCCGGTACTTGAGATTTGAGGAAGTTTTAGAGGAAGGAGAGGAAAGAGACTTGAATGTGTATTTGGTCATTGGGCATATTTTGTATGTATGGGCATAAACCCAAATAATTTGTATTCTAGTTTGAAAAAGTAGTGGATTAAAGGTCTTAGACCATTTTAATGTGTAAGAGTGTAAACTCAATTGATATTTGAGATGCCTTTATTTAATGAGTATCATATGTGTATATTGAGACAATTAGATGTATATGTTGAGAATAAGAGATGTATGTTTAATTTACATGGGTTGTGGCCACCGAGTGAGGGTGAATTGTGATATAATTATGCATATGAAATATTGTGAATATTAGGTGGAAAAAAGGCTTGAAAACAAAGGAGGTTATGTCGAAATTTTATGAAAAATTAAAAGACTTGTTAAGTGTGTAAAACACCTTTTAAATATGTGGGAAGGATGTCAAAAGGGGAGGTTTAGAAACCTTGAAGAAATAGGCTAAAAATGGAAGAAAATTAGCTTGAAAAACTTTGGAAAAACATGAAAAATGAAGGAGAAACCAATTTATCCAACCTGATAACTTTTCATTTACTTTTCTTTTCCATTTTCACTCACTCCCCGGGTTTGTGGAAATTCAGGGCGTGACAGGCCTGACCAGCCCAAGAGACCCGGAGCAGAGAAGGAGGACCTAGCATCGGCAAAAAACTTATAACCTAGCTGTCCAGGCCCAGTCCAAACTACCTATGGATCACCAGAGGGGACCACGCATCCTGGGGATCCAGGGGGACCACTCCTAACACCTACGGTAATTTCAGAGAAGGTGGAGCACCAGGCCTCCAAAGATCATGGCAACGATAACACCGGATGAACAGGGACGCCGGATGAACAGTGATCGTGGTGGCAGAAGTAACAGGAGGGGACAGAGGAAAGGACAGCTGGAGGGCCTAAGAGGAGCTAGTATAAAGAGATAATGATAACCCAGGCAAGGAGAGAACACCATCTCCCCTGAAAAAGATCAGGGAACATTTGAGAGAAAAAGAGCGTAGAAAGTTGAGAGAGAATACCTGGATAATCGTTCTTTGCAAGTGGACCCCAAGTCCCAAGTTACTAAAGACACTTTGCCGGCCGATGAATATACAATCCCAGCGAGCAAGAGACTCCGTTAAGAGTGGACGTAGCCTTAGTCTTTCGGCTAAGGTGAACCACTTATATTCCCTGTCAAACTGTTCATAAAAGATTAATCCACCATTTGCAAAACCATTTTCATAACACCATCCAACCATAGTTGGGCTTGGGCTACAAAATCCGAGAACCATCAAGTACGAAGCTCAGTGTAGCATGTTATGGTGCCCTACCCTTTAAGATCCTGCTTCTCCACAAGCATGCACTCGCAAATACAAAGGTATTTAAACACTCTTGATTGTTCCCAAATAGAATAAAATAAATCACAAAATAGGAAAAAAAAAAAAAAAACAAAGAAACTCAGTATGTGGCATTCTAGAAATTCTTTGCAAAGCTTATTGTATAAACTCTAAGTTTTCTTTTCTATGTATTCGCTCTTGAAAACAAAACCTTGTGGCCTTATGTAATAACCGGAAAAAGAAAACAATAGGAATCCAACGGCTAGAAATGTAAGTCTATAAATGCAACGGCTAATTGCACTTTACAACATTATGGCAATGCAATGTTCAACCATCAACATTTATAAGTTTTACAATGCATTAATATTATAGTGCTGCCATTGCTTAAAGGCAATGAATGGAAAGCATTAATGCTCCATGTGCTACAGGATAAGAAACTTAAAGTGGTTGTTGGCTTTGATCGGTTGACATCAATAGGATACAAAATTTCTATCAAAAAAATAAAATTAGACCACTTGATTTAAAGGATTTTGTATTTTAAAATAATTATAACTTATTTATAACAATCCCCCACATATTTCAAAATACAAACTTAACTATGTACATGTATGAAAATAAAACAAAATTAGTTTGGGAACACAAGAATCTAATACATTGTAGCAGTGCCTTTTGGACTATGAACCGACTCTTAGAGTAACCGGTTAAAGCTTACAAAAAAATTGGTGAAATATAAAATTTCTATGAATCAGATTTTTTTTGGTGTAAACTGACTAAGCTTATCACTCACGTTAGACACTCTGAATCTAAGTTCGTTCATCGTGGGGGTTAGTATAAATAGGTCATGTACTCTACCTGGATATTCATTGACAAGTTTCCATGGGAAACAACCCTACTTTTACATTTATATAGGTGAATCCATCAAGTATATATTGTAATTAAATACACAAACTAAATTAGGCTATAGATCCATTAAGAGCTAAACTCGATCTTATACATTGCAGTTTTTACTATCTACACCATAAGGATAGACTTCTAATATTAATTGAATGAGAAAATTTCGTCTACAGCCTCTCCAAATAGGTCTAACTTCAACGAATTTCCTTGTCTTTTTTGAAATTTCACTACATTTTCTTTTAATTTATATGTCCTCTTCACCTAGACCCCCTACTGTAAACACCCGTTACTGTCCATCATAAAAGTGTTGATGTTATATCAAAATTTTTATTAAATGCCAATTTTACCCTTCTTATTCCCCATAAAACCCTTGTTTCACCCTCTCTCTCTGTCTCATGCCTCAACCAAACTTAGAGGAAATAAGAATATGTATTTATTAAAAAGATAATAATAAAACTTAACACTAATTATATTTAAGTGATAGATTTAATTTATTATAAATTTTATAAAGAAGACATAACACTAATTATTATAAAAAACTTTTAATATTTTATATTATAATTTGAGAATGTAAAGTTGGTTTAATTGTCGAGTAATACTATTTGGACCTAAAAATTTGACTTAATTTACTGACATAATTATGTGACTTTAGTAGAATAATTGGATAAACACCAAGTTCCAATGTTTGATGGCCCCATAATCAATTCAACTATCATAGTGAATTAATTCAACAAATTAGGTTCCAATAGCATTGCTCTTAATTGTCATTCACCTTCACCGCGTAGCATCTAATTTTTTTTTAATAATGTTATTTAAACTTAAAAAATTGACTTAATTTGTTAATATAATGATGTGAATTTATAAGAATCATTATATCAACACCAAATTTCAATGTTTGATGAGACCTAGAGTCAATCCAAATGTCACAGTGAATTAGGTTAATAAATTATGTCAGTCAATTAAATCCTAATAACATTGCTATTTTTAATATTTTTGGCTAAGCACTATTGCATAAAAAGAAGCGAGAATTACGCTCAGTTCCTCTGAAATTTGTTACTTAAACTTTTTCACATTTGAAATATCACATACAAATCCTCTGAAGTTTGTACATGCAAAACACTTAAACCCTGCTATAAATATATCTATTAATAAATTATACTTAGACCCTTCTAAAGTTTGTAGGCATATAATACTTAAACCCTTTAAGTTTAAAATATTATAATTAAACAAAAAATATTCCAATAAAAGATAGAATATCAAATATTTTAAATTTTATAACAAAAAATCATATTCTATTGTATCATTTATTAAAATAAAATTAAAATTAAAAATTTAATTTTTTCTTAAAAAATCGTAATTAATATATAATTATACTATTTATTGGAATAAAACTAAAAATCAAACAATGGGTTTAAGTCTTTCATAATAGAACATGACTTTTATAACAAAAATTCATATTCTATTATGTCATTTATTGAAATAAAATTAAAAATAAAAATATATATATTTTTAAAAAAAATCATAATTAATATACAATTACACTATCTATTTGAATAAAACTAAAAAAATTAAACAATGTGTCAAACTATAATAAACACAATATCTTTTAACTTTAATTGAGGTAGTTTGGTATTTTAATTTGATCGTTTAAATGACCAAATTAAATTTTAATAGATAATATAATTGTATACTAATTACGATTTTTTAAGAAAAAATTAAATTTTTATTTTTGATTTTATTTCAATAAATGATACAATAAGACATAAATTTTAATTATAAAATTTAAAATATTTGATATTCTATAAGTATTTTTGGTTTAAATATAATATTTTAAATTTAAGAGAATTTGAATAAAATTTATTAACAGATATATTTATAGAAAGGTCTATATATTACATGCCTATAAATTTTAGAAGGTTTATATATAATATTTTAAATATTAGGAGATTTGAGTGATTAAGTTGTAAATTTCGGAAAATCACAGCGTAATTCTGCTAAAAAGAAAGACCAAATTCGAATTGGTCCGTTAACCTGGTGATTGCGTGTGTCCATCTAATTGAAATATTCAAAATCCTAGCCCACGTGCGACCCCAAGGAAGAGATCGTCTGGTTCACTTCTATCTGTGTAGCGTTGATTTCACTTCTGCAGGGTTTAGGGGATTTGGAGATGCTGACGCCTGCAATCCCGACTCACCGGATCGCGGAGTCCACTCACCACCGACTCATAGAGTTCGTCAAATCTGCTCTAATCAAAATCTTCGTCTCCCCTTATGCCACTGTTCGTTCTCTCTCTGTCTCTCTCTCTATATATATATACACACACACACACACAGACTCACTCACTCACAAACATATTTATATACGAATGTATGTGTCTTTGAGAAGGTGTGCGATTTATACTGTGGAAGAGTACCTGATGAAGAAAAATGGGATGAAGCTCAAATTGGTCACTACATAGGCGTTGGTATTTTTTTTTTTTGGAAATTTTAGGATAGGTTTTGAACTTCTGTTATTTATTGGGGAAATATAGTTTTCTCTTTGATTACTGCTGGTATTAATTGGGAATTTTGTAGATATTGCGACATCCGGAGTGAGTGAAGTTAAGGAGGCACGGGAGAGTCAGCGCAAGACTTATACTTCTGAGTTCTTTGAGCTTGATCCTTGCATTGTGAGCCCTCCCCTTCTCTGTGTATAGATAGATACACACTAATACATACAAATACACTCAAACAATGTATCTAGTAACGTTTTTATGTACGTTTGTACAAGTACATGAGGAATTATCCGTTGTAAATGATTGTGATTTAGTATACTTACTTAGCAGGCGGTTGAGAAATGCTGATTAGTCTCCAGGAATTAATTTTTAATAGCCATTTCACTTTTGGCGGTTCATGATATTCGAGTATATAGAGATTCACACCCCCGAAGCCTGTTTCTTCATAGACTTGTTGTTTTATTTTTGATGTTGGAAGCTGTGTGTGTATTATGCATGTACTTAGGTTTCGCCGTCATTTTGGTGGTTTGTTGGTTTCTTATTTTATTAGAAAATCATATCATGCCATGAGATGTCATATTTTTTTTCACCCGCTGCCCATCTCCCCTATTTTTGCTGAGGATTTTAAATGCTTTGAGCTGGTTAAACCTTTTCTACTGGTCAATATGTGCCAATTTCTTGAAGTTACTTTTGCTCCTGTGCTTGACATCATCTTTAATTAACAGGAACATTTTGAATTGCAATTGCAAGACAATGACAATATGGCCGATATAGTCTGTTGCATGCAGCATTTGCAGGTTCTAAATCACTAATTTCCCCCTTTTGGGTAGTGTTTTTCTAGATGGGTTATGTTTTTTTTTGAAGAACAATAAACTAGACATTTATGTCTATTTGCAGTTGTGCTTTGAAAGTGAGGAGAAAGCAAAGAGACTATTGCATAATGTATCGTCTTTGCTGAAACCAGGGGGTTATTTTCTTGGTATTACTCCTGACTCATCTACTATATGGTATGACACTGTGATTGTCAAAGATATGGCTGAAGCTTTCTTCATAATATTTTGGTTGCTTCCTTATTTTGAGTTTGTTATTTCCTTGGCCTTTTCCTTTGTGATCTTGATGTCACATTTTGCTTTTGAAAATCCAGCCTAATGGACTAATTCAAATTTGTTTGTGCAAATCCCCCAAGAAATTTAGTGACGAGAAACATTTCAAGGGCATAATTTCTGAATTTCAAAGTTTCATCTGAGGGGAGGAATTAGTTCATTTCTTTTCTAAAGAAACTTGAACAAAACTCTCTACTAGTTGTAAGTTTCCACCCTTCTCTACTGAAACTTAGTCATTGTCCTCATTCTCCCTAAATATCCAACTTCAAAGAAAAAAAGACTAGAATTGTTGGGAGTGAAATGGATGCACAAACTGAGTGCAGAGCTCTTTATATATAGCCAAATATATGCAAATAAGAATGTAACTGACCAGAAGGGCAAAATAGATAAAAAAGCTAAACATCCTAATAACTAGGCTATCACTCTTAACATTCCCCCTCAAACTAGGCGTAAATATGTCAATCAAACCAAGCTTGACAATGGAGTCCTTGAGAAGGGATAGAGTGACAGGTTTAGTGAAGACATCCGTAACCTGATCACTAGTCTCCACAATCGATGGGGTAACAATGCCGCAGCTGACCTTTTCCAGAAGAAAGTGAACATCGATCTTTATATGTTTCGTCCTCTGTGTAGTATAGAGTCAGAAGTGAGGTGAATAGTAGATTGATTATCACAATATAATGTAAATGGATAAGTCACTAAGAATCTCAATTCGCCAAGAATAGACCGTAGCCAGAAAATCTCACATGTGTCAAGCACCAGAGCTCGATCATCTGCCTTTGCTGATCAATGGGAGACAATTACTTATTTCTTGTTATTCCAAGAGATAAGACGAGTCCTTCGAAAAGTACAGAAGCCCGTAATAGATCGACCTTCACAAGTTTCTCCATAATCTTAATCTGAATTTGAATATGAATAACAGACTAGAGAAGACCATTGTAGCACGTGTATTGCCCAGGGTATAAAGGGCATGATGACTTGACGTCATCCTCAGTGATCCCGATGCATTTAACAACCCAAGTCCATGACAAGACTTGAGGTATCGAAGAATATAATATACCACATCTAGGTAAGACTGACATGACTTTTGCATGAACTGAATAATCCGACTGACAGTAAATGAAATGTCTGGCTTAGTGTTGACTAGGTAGATAAGCCTACCTACCAATCTTTGATAAACAGTTGAATCTCTCAACTCCTCACCTTCAGTGTTAAGTTTCAGGTTTAGAATCATAGATGATAATGTTGGTTTGCACCCCAGCATTTTAGTGTCCGAGAGAAGATCCAAAACGTACTTCCTCAGAGAGATAACAATACACCTGCTG